TTTAGATCATTTTTGAAAATACCTATAAACAGTCTCAGACATATACAATGTCGCAGTCGCAGGGCTCCCATTTTACCTCGACGGCTCTGTGGCACGTGTTCGAATCTCGCACGGAACAAGTATTTGTATGGCCTACAAATAATTGTTTCGGTTCTGGATGTTTGTCATTGTGCAATTTATGTATTTAAACGGTCTCCACGATACAGGGAAAAATCCTAGTGTAGAAGTAACGTTTTTTAAGAAAAAGGAAGTCCTTCAAAGTAGGTACCACCTTATTTTCCACGATAATATAGAGACTACTAATTGTAGTCTCTATATTATCGTGGAATAAGTGTAATCAACAGTGAGTATATCATGATAATAAGTGTTGCTATTAGTTTACATTCTGTTTAGATAAAATGTCTTCATGTTATGATATCTATTACATACGTACACATACACGTGTGATTGTGTGTATTGTCAAATTATATGATAACGCTGAATGTGTAGTGCTTAGTATATGTTTATACGTGGTAGAGCCACGCTGCAGCTATGGTTATAATTATGGTTGTAGCACAAATGGTTCGGCTCGACCGTACGAGCATAAAATAGCAGGTTAATAGTGCTGTATTTCGTATGGTGAGTGTAGAGATCCGGAGGCCCTTTTTAACTGGAAACAAGATATTCCATCTTAGTCCTCGTAGGTGACAACGCGACTGCACTTTGATTCTTAATCGAGGATAAATGTAGATATCTTTGGGCCACAGCATCCAGTTACCATCAGGTGGAATGTGTGCTCGTTTGTTCGTCGTTCTTCTTCTATAAAAAATATCGTGTATTTTTATTGCATACTCTGGTGTATGCTGAATATCCGCTATTAACCACCAAAGACACCACCGGATGGGCACTAAGTTACTAAAACATTGCCCACTAACGTTATGGTCGATTATCCGTAAGTTCTTTAGTCGACTCCGAGCGGGAAAGAAAACTAGTTATTTATTTTGTAAACCACTTTTCGTTTTCGACAATCTAAAACTGATTTTGTTTAATGTGACTAAGGTAACGCTGTTATTATTTATACGCACTAGGTAAACGTGATTTGAAGGTTATTTCAGATAAATTCTAACTTAAAAAGATGGTTGCCCTCTTTCTTCGGAAGGACAGGTCATTACGCAACAATTCTTTTAGAGGATCGAAAAACAGTTACCGCAGAGTGGTACACTAACAATTGTTTGCCACTTGTCTTGGAAAAAGTTCGGGAGAAACGACCTCGCAGTAGGATCCCCCTTCACCACGACAAAGCCTCGTCGCACACCGCCAAGCAAACAATCGACTACTTGGCGACGTCAGACGTGGAATTACTGGGTCACCCACCCTATAGCTCCGATCTCGTACCTTGCGATTTTTATTTGTTTCCAAAAATAAAAGAAAAACTTTGAGGAAAACGTTATGAACGTAGAGGAAGCAGTGGCTGCGTTTCAAAATGCCGTCAAAGAAACCCCTAAGGTCAATTTGACAAAGTGCTTTTCTCAGTGGTTCTATCGGATGCAGCGGTGTATTAATGTAAAAGGACACTATTTTGAAAAGATATAATAGAACTAATAATCTGCTAGTTTGTTCAGTTTTTGATTTTCTAAGAACTTTCAGTGTCACCCTCGTTCACTATCACGCCCGCGCTCTTCCCAAAGCTGTGCATGTATTTGTCTTAAACCATATTTTTAACAATAAACTTTTAGTATATTTTCGACAAATATAAAAAGAAAATACGTTAATTGAGAGAAAATCCGTAAAAATTTCTTCCATTTACGAGTAATATTTGCATAAATATATAAAAAATATTAGTAAGAGTATAATTATTACAGAGTACGTGAGGCAATACAACACAAACACAGCTATAGTCTATTTTTATATAAAACTGAATTTATATAAATAAAAATTTGGTTAACCCTGCAGGCCCTGGAACTTTCCGCTAATTTCAAATGCAAATCCTCCAAATTTTACCAAACTATGTTGCGAAATCTCGAAGTTATGTTAAAAAACGTTTTTTTTTAATTTTTTCTCCTTTGATACCTCACGAACGAATGAACCGATTTTTATTTTCCAAACAGTATTCGATGTCATATTTTGAGGTTAAGAGCTGATTGGTTTTTTAAATCGATCGGTAAAGCCGTTTAAAAATTATACTAAAAAAAACAGTTTTTCAATTTTTTTTTACATTTCTCAAAATCTACTCGTCCGAATCAGTTTATATTGACACAAAATCTAATCCATAATTAATCAGAATAGCTAGAAAGCTAGAAATTAGTCAGAATAGCTTCCTGGTATCTCAAAACATCGAGATCTGATGAAAACTCGATTTTCGCAAATCGGTGTGAAACCAATAACTTCCCTATTTTTGAAAAATTTCAATTATCTTAGCGGGAAGTTAAGACAAAACTGAAAAATGACAAATGAACTTAGAATCCACCTGATGGTAACTATTGCAGTCCATGGACAAGTGCGACAGTCGAGCACACAGTCCACCTGATGGTAAGTGGGTGCTGTGATCCATAGACATCTACATCTATCCTCGATTACGAATCAAAACACAGATGCGTTGTCACCCCTGTGGACTAAGATGGAACGTCTCGTTTCCCCTAAAAAGGATCTCCGGTTTTCTACACTAACCATACAAAACACAGCGGTATTAAGCTGCTATTTTATTGGTATTCTCTGAGAGCGTGGTCCTTCCCCGGTTGAGCCGACCCATTCGTGCTATAAACATAATATAGCTGCAGCGTAGCTCTACCACGTATAATCTGCCGCCAAATTTAAACAAAAAAGGTCTAAGAAGGACCAAAATACAGAAGGGAAATTAAGTATGAAGGCGTTGTTTACTCAGTCTGACTCCTTGACAAAATAATACAAAAATAATGAAAGTTTCTTTGGTTGAAGTCAACTTTTTCCACGTGCTGCTGTAGCCAGCTACATTTGTCGTTCGAAATTTACTTACAAGGCAAGCCGTGTTTGCACGGAAAGCATTTCCAGCAGTTAGCAGGAGCCACCGTGCGACTGGCCCGTGCAGCAACATTGCGCAGTAAGTGAGACGGCTCAACGCCGCCACTACACCGCTATCCAGTAGCCGGCGTGTCTTACCTGATAAAAAATCATAGTTTTCTATTTCTATTAAACTAAAACCGGACGACTTGTTACAATTAAATACAAGAAAAGATTTTACTTGAACAAATGTACAAAAAAGCAAGAAAACGATAGTAAATGATTCTGACTAGACTCAACCGATCAATATGTTAAGTTGACGGTGCTTCACCCCCGTGCCTCGGAAAGCACGTGAAGCTGTCCGACGCCTAATCACTCTCCGGTCGTGTCGGATTTTCGTCCCATCCGACTATGAGAGCCGTGGTAGGTCAGTGGTTAACGCTCGCTGTAAATATAACAGAACGCGAGTAACCCGGGTTCGATCCCCGCCGGCACCAATAAAATTGTTAATTGTAATTTTAAGTGCTGATTTACCACATGCTCGGCGGTGAAGAAAAACATCGTGAGGCGACTTGCATGTTTGAGGAATAAGAAAAAAAATATTTCGAAGACATGTGAAGTTCGTCAACACGCATTTGGGCAGCGCGGCGGACACTTCCTTGCCCTAAACCCTCTCATAAATGAGGGGAGGCCTGAGCCCAGCAGTGGGACGTATATAGGCTGTAACTTTACTTTTTAACTTTACCGACTATGAGTGTGAGGGAATAGAGAGTGCATCTGTGCTTGCCCACTACTACACTAATTCTATCCTGCGCAGATGCCTGGTCTCCTCGGAGACAAGCCGTACTAGACGAAATTCTGTCTGGAGGACATTACTCGTATTTTTATTTTTTACCACGTTTTTACTAACTCACTTTCGTGTATATCTATGTGATGAGCTAAAGATTTTAAGTTTTAAACATATCTCAGAATCGTATGACAAGTAAGTATAAAACAATAATACATAAACTTGTTAATATTCGCCCCAAAGTTGAACATAAGCCTGACCACATTCTCACATTTCTGAAAGAGTTGTGAAACAAATAATCCACGCTGTCGGGTATATGTTGGCAGACTTTATATTTGTCTCCAAATATTTTATTACTCAGACATGTAGTTTTCCTTACCGTGTTTTCTTTCGCCGCCGAGCTCATAATAAGTAAATCAACATTTGAAATTGTAATTTATAATTTCATTGGTACTGCTGAGTATCGAACCCCGATTTCGTGCTATAAATTTTACGACCAGCGCTGTTATTGAACAATTGAGGGGATACTCAGCTGTTCACTTCAAACTTAAAGAAAAAAATTGGGGCGTGGCTTTACGTGATTACGTTAAAGTTACATTATACATATATACGTCCCACAGCTGGGCACAGGCCTCCTCTCATTTCTGAGAAGGTTTTAGGGCAAGGAAGTTTCGGCCGCGCTGTCCCAATGCGTGTTGGCGAACTTCATATGTCTTCGAAATATTTTTTTTATTTCTAAATCAGCACTTAAAATTGCAATTAACAATTTCAATAATGCCGGCGGGGATCGAACCGGGTTGCTGGCGTACTGTTAAATTTACAGCGAGCGCTAACCATCTGAGCTACCACGGCTCCATGAGACGGCGACCTCACTCATCGTAACGAATTTTTTTTAAAAAGAATATTAACAACGTTATAAACATTACTAATATTCCCCTTAACCACTCGTGGTAAGCTTAAATTGCTTGTGTTACGAGTGGTTCACGCCAGTAGTCGAATGGCGGATTCGAAGCCACGAACTTTTTGAGTTCGCGGTCCGCGCCCTGCCATTAGGCTACTGTCGCTTTTTCTTTGATCCTTTAGCTATCGAGTGGTATAATTAATTAAACATTGGTTGTAGATGATATATATGTCGCTGCTACATTAAACTGTATTCCCCGACTTCTTTATTACCAGTTTTTTGAATAGCCTCCCAATATGGAAGCAAACTTCAAGGCGTACTTACGTCAAAAACAGATAATTTTACAATACAACAAAGTCACCAGCGTAATCCGTGGAAGAAACTAAAGCGGGCCAGAGCAAAGCCGCTGGCCAGGCTAAGTGCAGCCAGGAACAACTCCAGTGTTCGTAGATCGCTGACGCCGACACTGACGCAACCAGCGTCGCAGCCGACAGCAGCCAAAGGCAATACGAGACCAGCTGAAAATTATTAACATTAAAAAAAACACTACTACATGATAAAGGTCAGAAAATTTTGTTTTTAATAAGAATGTGCAAGATTCAAAAAAATTTACTTTAAATAAATATGCAATGTTCAAAAAATGTTTAATAAAATTATTACAATAAAATAATATTATAAAATAAAGATATGCAAGTGCCAAAAACATCAAGTTTCTATAAAAAGCAAAAACTGATTACAACTATCTAAAAGAATAAAATTATATCCAATTAAAAACTTCTGAAGTCGAGACTTGTACACCTATGCCTTAGCACCGACTTCAGAAGCTATTATTTGGAAGTTATTCTGTTTCTTTTTAATCTTTTAAAGTCGGCCCTTACTTTTTATTAATAGTTTAATTTTTCAAATTATAAAAACGTTAGAAAAGGAAACCGAGATGATAGAAAACACTTTATACTGTATTCTATCTCATTCTTTCGTAGGCTAAATCCTATTATGTATTATATTTTTAATAGATGTATATATTATGTTTCTCTCTTTTTAATATCGCTTTTTCGTTTTTTCGAGTTTCAAAACACAACAATTCCCGAGAAGTTATCAATTTAAAAAAAATTATTTCTTTAATTAAATTGAATCATATTTCTGTTTTCATATCATATGTTATGATAGTTTTTATATCATTGGGTGATAAACGAGCACACAGTCCACCTGATGGTAAGTGAATGCTGTGGCCCATAGCCATCTACATTTTTCCTCAATGAAGAATCAAAATGCAGTTACGCCGTCACCCCTGAGGACTAAGATGGAATGCCTCGATTCCGGTAAAAAGAGTATCCGGTTCTCTACACTCACCATATGCAACACAGCAGCATTGCGCTCCTATTTTACGCTGGTATTCTGTGAGAGCGTGGTCCTGCCCCGGTCGAGCCGACCCATTCGTGCTATAATTATAATATAGCTGCAGCGTGGCTCTACCACGTAAAGGTAACTGTGTAAGCCCTTATTTTTTTCTAGTAGTAGATAACATAGGTATTACCCTCGGCACCCGAGTCTGTCCGTCAACCTTGTGCACCAACCAGCCGGAGAGTACGCCGATGAAGTATGGAGCCACTCGTGCTACTGGGCGTTGGATGAATAAGAAATATCCTTCGAATATTCCATGGAATCTAAAATAAATAAAATTAAACACATAGTAAAATCTTAATAAGTAAAATTATTAATTAAAACAAATGAAACTTCGTTATATTTAAGTGAAATTTGATCAACGCCCAGTGGTGATGGCGTATGAGAATCACACGATTTATTCCAATGGTTATCGTAGAAGACAACTACAGAAAATCCGTAGCTCATGCATTAGATGACGATACCATATACGTGATATATTATGCCGTTATATTATGGTTGTAGCACGAATGGGTCGGCTCGACCGGGGAAATAACACCAGCGTAAAATAGCAGCTTAATACCGCTGTGTTTCGTATGGTGAGTGTAGAGATCCGGAGACCCTTTGTTTACTGGAAACGAGGCGTTCCATCGTAGGATGACTACAGGGTGGCAACGCATCTACGTTTTAATTCTTAATCGAGGATAAATGTATGCTCATTTGTCACCCTTATTCTATAAAAAAATGGTTGCCCCTGCAGGCCATCCCTGGAACTTCCCGCTAATTTCAAATGCAAAGCGCTCCAAATTTCACCAAATTATGTAGCAAAGTCTCGAAGATATGTTAAAAAAACGTTTTTTTACAAATTCTTTCTCCTTCGATATCTCAAATGAACCGATTTTTATTTTCCAAACCACATTCGACGACATTTTTTGAGGTTAAGCGCTGATTAGTTTTTGAAATCGATCGGTAATGCTGTTTAAGTTTTTCCAAAAAAGCAGCTTTTCAGATTTTTTATTTTTGTGATATCTCACAATCTACTCATCCGAATCAGGTCACAAAATCACAAAATCTATTCCACATTGAGATCTTTAGAACGCCACAAGCCGCATCTCGATCAAGACGTTCAAAAGTTATGAAAGGTTTACTCACACACACACACACACACACACACATGCACGCGCGCGCGCGCGCACGCACGTACGCACGCACGAAGTTAAAAAATATGACGGTATACCATTGCGCAAATTATAATATGCCGTTTAGTGGCGTTGTAAGAATATCAATACTCCATATCGTTGCGTGGGTTTCGTCAGAGAGAAAATAAAACAGGAGAGGATCCAAAAAACTATAATGGAAATTGAAGGTTACGAACCCGCCTGCCAAACCTGCAACTATAACAAAATACCCCTATGAAGCAATTAATCGATGTCACACATGTTCAGCAGAGGACTTTTACAGTTAAAGTTAGTTAAAGTTACAGCCTATATATACGACCCACCGCTGGGCACAGGCTTTCTCTCATTTCTGAGAGGTATTTAGGGCAAGGTAGCGTCCGCCGCACTGACCCAATGCGTGTTGGCGAACTTTACATGTCTTCGAAATATTGTTTTTCTTATTTCTCAGACATGCGGGTTTCCTCGTGATATTTTCTTTCACCGCCAAGCACTTGGTAAATCAGCACTCAAAATTGTAAATAACAATTTCATTGGTGCCGGCGGGAATCGAACCCGGGTTGCTCGAGTACTGTGAAATTTACAAAGAGTGCTAACCATCTGAGCTACCACGGCTCTCGACTTTTATAGGCTGTAATGGAAATTGTAAAATATCTACCCCAGGGACGCAGAGTTGCGTGAAAAGTGCAAGGCATCTATTACTATCCATCTACCAAATAAAAAATCCTTTAAAAAACTATAGCCTCTTCTTTAAAAATAGAAATACCGTTTGTGGTAATCGGTGAAGGCCTTGATAACATCAAAGGCAGTGGCCGCCAGTAAAGCCGCATTTAGCAACAGCAGAGCACTCCGGCGACGAGGTGACGTCATCAGTATGCACAGCAACGCACCGCACGCGTGTAGTAGCGTATCCGTTGAGAGGTACCACGATACTTGCATGCACTACGAAGCAAAATTAAAGTAGTAGCCTATAAAGGTGCTGCTGTTCAGCGTTAACCTGCTCTTAAATTTGAAAGGGTTACAGAGCATGCACTGCTGAATTACATAATCGTTTTGAGTAAAATACTACATTGGTTAATAAAAATAGGTGACGGATAACTACATAAATATTTTAAATAAATATTTTACTTTAATTAATTGGTTAATCACTACTTAATCTTAACAATCTCTTTACAGAAATTCATTCGTATTTGTTTTTAGAATAAGAGTGACAAACGGTAACGCAGTCAACCTGATGGTGTAAGTGGATACTGTGGCCCATAGACATATATATCCTAGATTAAGAATCAAAATGTAAATGCGTTGTCACCGCTTACGATTTAGATGGAATGCCTTGTTTCCAGTAAAAAGGGTCTCCGGTTCTCTACACTCACCATACGAGACACAGCAGGGAGCAGCATTAAGCTGCTATTTTCCGCTGGTATTTTATGGTTGCAGCTATACTATGGTTGTAGCATGAATGTGTCGGCTAGACCGGGGAAGTACCACGTTCTCACAGAACACCAGCGTAAAATAACAGCTTAATGCTGATGTGTTTTGTATGGTGAGTATAGACAACCGGAGACCCGTTTCACTGGAATCGAGGCATTCCATCTTAGTACTCAGGGGTGACAACGCATTTGCATTTTGGTTCTTAATCATGGTTAAATGTGGATGTCTATGGTCCACAGTATCCACTTACCATCAGTTGGACTGTGTGCTCGTTTGTCAACCTTATTCTAAGTTACTTGAAGGTTATATAGTCACCTTAAGCTTTTCCGCCCTATAAAACCAAAACTAGGAGAAGGACAGAGACAAAAACACAAAATCGTAAACTGTATAACTAATATATTAAAAAATTAATAGCAAACAAGCTTTGGCAATAATTAGATACACTTCGAAAAATCTACTTTAAAAAACTAACTACACTACACCATACTAAAATCGACTAAAATATTTACTTCAAAATGGCGTCGATAAAGCATCGCCCTTTTAACCCTTTATTATTTGATTGACCGATGAAGAGCTATCGTAACACAAGCCACCTATGCTAATAAGTCTATAGTTTTTAGTTATAAGAAAGTGACCATATCAGCCGGATGACCATATTTCCCTCACGCACTATATTTTAAAAAAAATTGTACCCCGGGTTGGGTCGGGTGCAAGATCAGTTATTACTCGTAGTTATCTCTATTAAGAAATTCTCAATTTGTTGGTCCTACGAGTGATCTTTTTTCAGTCTTGTCGGATTAAAGTTCTACTCAGTGTAGGAATAGCAAGTGCACCCGCGCTCGCGCATGCACTCGGGCACTATAATCTTATCCTGCGCAGATGGCAAGTCTCCGTTTAAACTGGTCGCCATGACTGAAATTCAATCTAGGGTTCATTTTGTCTCATACGTCGTTAGCAAATCGACCTTAATCCACTAAAGTGTCTCTTAGTTACGTATATCCTGGACTTTTAATCAGTTCGGTTCCCACAATACAGGTTTATGTGGGAACATTCATGTTTACACCGTCCCGAAGTCGAAGACAAGGCCCTCAACCCGGTAGTCAGATACTTTTATAAAATAAGTAAATATTATTAGGTATTACATTAATATATAATAGATTGGGGAAAAATTTTCTCCTATTATGTTTGTATAAAACTAAAGAAAAATCTCTTTGGTTGTACTGTTTGTATTCGGGTGGTTTTAATATCAATACGTATAGGACATTAAGAAAAACAAGAATAAAAAATCTAAATCATTTTCCCGCCATTTTTCAATTATTTTTCTGACCGCCAAAATGAGTGAATTTAGTGAAGAAATTCGATACATTCTGAAGTTTTATTACAAAAAAGGGAAGAATGCGACTCAAGCCGCGAAAAAGAAAATTGTGACGTTTATGGATCTAATGCAGTGTTGGTAATAGTAGCACAAAGTTTGTTCAAGCGTTTTCAGTCCGGGAATTTTGATGTCAAATATGTTGCTCGCTCTGGTCGCCCCCTTATGGTTAAAATCGATGCCATTTTTGAAAAAGTGGAGCAAGATCGGCATATTAGTAGTTACGACATAGCCGAGGAATTAGTATTGACTACAAAATTGTTTTGACCCATTTTAAAAAGTCTGGCTATACAAAAAAGCTCAATATTTGTGTACCACACGACCTTACTGAAAGAAACCTATGATGAATATTATGTATATGTACTTATATGCGATTCTCTATTGAAACGTAATGAAACCGAACAATTTTTGAAAAGTGATGAAAAGTGGATCACCTATGACAAGACCGTGCGAAAAAGATCATGATCAAATGTTAGTCAAGCTTCAAAGACTGTAGCAAAACCCGGATTAACACGCAATAAGGTGATGCTGTGTATATGATGGGATTGGAAGAGCATCGTTTACTATGAGCTTTTATCGCCGGGCATAACCGTCGATTCGGATCTCTACTGCCAACAACTAATAAGACTCAAGCATTCTTGCTTGAGAAAAAACGACCGGAATTGATCAACAGAAAAAGAATAGTCTTTCATCATGATAACGCCAGTCCACTCACTCCTTAGCCACTCAGCAAAACATGAGAGAGCTTGGTAGGGAAGTGTTAAAGCATTCACCATATAGTCCTGAGCTTGTACTCTCAGATTTTCATCTGTTTCGGTCTCTTCAGAATTCTTTGGGTAGTGTTAGGCTAACATCAAGAGAGAACTGTCAAAACTACATGTCGTAATTTTTTGATCAAAAATCAAAAAAAAAAAAATATAGTTTATTCTTCTGAGTTGTTTTCAGGAAAATGATTCTGCCCATCTCCTTCCTTTCCCTATGTCACCTCCTAAGTCTCCCACGGTATGGTACGAAATAGTGGATTCACTTACGCCACCACTACACTATGCGATATGCAAGAGAAAAATTTTGTAAAACCGAAATTTTTTGAGACGTAGTAAGGCCATGCTGCAGCTATATTAGTAGTATAGTTGGGTAATAATGGCTTGGTTCGAACGGGGAAAGGCCACGCTCTCACAGAATACCAGCGTAAAATAGCAGCTGAATGCTGCTGTGTTTCATTTAGTGAGTGTAGAAACTGGAGACCCTTTTTACTGGAAACGAGGCATTCCATCTTAGTCCTCACGGGTGACAACGCATCTGCATTTTGATTCATAATCGAGGATATGCGTAGGTGTCTATGGGCCACAGCAACCATTTACCATCAGGTGGACTGTGCTCGTTTGTCACCCTTATACTATAAAAAAACGACATCAATATAAATAAAATGAGAACTTCGTCAATGTAGTCGAAGTCAATTGAATACGCATTATTAAGGATAACTCAAAAACTACTGGTCAGATCTTGATCAAATTTATATGGAACCACATAAGAAGCACCAGATTTCAAGTAGAAAAAGAATCATCAAAATCTGTTCACCTAGAAAAAAGTTCTGAAGTAATACACATGAAAAATACAGTTGAATTGAGAACCTACTCCTTTTTTGAAATCGGTTGAATATAATAAAAAATCTAAAGGAACACACCTGCTCTCTTTCAGGGTAAAACACGGTAATGTATAATACATTTCTCCACCAGTAAGTGTCGCAATTATAATAGTCACTTTCAGGTAATATGGTCGATGCTGTGTCCCGCAATACCCGAGCAAGTACGGCTGTTAAGAAGATCGTGTAAATGTATGGTGGCAGCAACCTGTTGATGTCAAAAAAATTAAAACTATTCAAAGAATCTTTATTTTTTTTAATTAACATAACTTTTTCAATCAAATAGGATTTTCTTAATCCTATTTGATCTAAAACATCTATAGGCGCACCTTGGCAGTAAAATCAGCTCGTATTCCGTAAAGGCAAATTAGGCATGTCGATATATAATCGATTAATCGAAGAATGGATTGTTTCTGCCAAAAAGATCGATTTTTATCGATATATAGTACTGAATCGATCCAGTGAATCGATATTTCACCCTAGAAAATCAAGATCAAATCTTTTTCTGTTTTCATAAGAACTTTAAAGTAATTCACAATTAGTTGAAAAAAAAAACATAAACATACGCCTGTCACCCAGAGGGGTAGGCAGAGACTACAGACTTCCATTTAGCACGATCCTGACATACCTTTCTCGCCTCTTCCACATCCATATACCTACGCATACATGCTCGTCGGTTAAGGGTACTCTTAATTTGGCCCATTTTTAGTATATCGCCAATTTGGTCGACAAACTTCCGCCTAGGACGTCCCTTTCCGACTCTTCCATTCACTTCTGCAACATATATTTGCTTTGTCAGTCTTTCCGCATTCATTCTTTCTACATAACCAAACCACCGAAGCATTCCTTTCTTAATCCTGGTCACCGCATCATCTTGCAAACCACACTCTTCTTTTATCACACAGTTTCTCACCCTGTCACTCAGATTCAGCCCTAACATACTCCTTAGCGACCGCATTTCTACTGCATTTATTCTACTCTCGTGCTTCTTCTGCCACACCCAACTTTCACTACCATACGTTAAAGTAGGGACTAATACAGCACTGTGAATTGCCATACGTGCCTTTTTTGACACATTCTGACTTTTCACAATAGAGTGTAGAGCCCCATTTACTTTATTTCCTGCATTCACTCGTCGTTCAATGTCCTTATCATATCTCCCATCCCTGCTGAATACACATCCCAAATATACGAACTCATCCACTTGCTCAATTAACTCTCCTTCTATTCTTATTTCACATACCGTTTTGCTTTCATCTCTTTCAAAAACCATCACTTTCGTCTTACTTGCGTTCACTTTCATTCCCCTTTCTTTTAATGACCTGTTCATTAATGTAACCATCATTTGCAACTCGGTCGCCGACGACGCAAGTATGACTTGATCATCGGCGTACAAAAGGCATTTGATGGTTAACTCACCCATTCTTACAATTAGTTGAATGTACCCTAACTTGTAAAGGATGACAGTTTTTCTATTCAAAAACTAGCAAAACTGCTGTGTGCTCAGTTTCTTTCGCCTCTTCTTAATGGATTAAAGAAATAAAAAATAAGTTCCGTTTGTAATCTGCACTTTGTACGAATCTGAAAGCACAAAAAAGATCGATTTTTGAGAAATCGATCTTTTAGACTTTGATTTTTTTGTGAATCGATTCATATCGATTTAAAAATCGATCTATTTCGGAAAGAATAGACATCCCTAAGGCAAATTGCATAACGCTCTGTGATGCCGTCATGCACATTACTCTACGCCAAAGCTTTCGCCTCCCCTGTGTGTGCGTGCGCGTATACTATACAATTCGTTGTTTCTCTGTGTGAGTTGTGTACTGCTTGTGCCTTTTAATTCATTTATTTTAATCCATATTACTTTATTGGTTTTCATTAATTATAAATTCTACCATCAACTATGATGTTTCACATCTCTCGGGCGTCCCGTGACGGCTACCTTTTTTTCTTTATCAACACCAAACAGACCATTGCCGAACCAATAGAGGAATTCAGGAGAACAAGATAATAATAGTTCTCTAAAAAGACAATAACAAATAAAAAATAATACCTGATAGCCCTATTGGTGACGAAACAGACGAATTGTAGGATTTTTCCACATTGGCCGCCACAACTTACCAATTCACGCACCGTATACCGATTTGATAGATAGAAGAAATGATGTGCACTTAACATGCCACTGTCGGTAACAATTTAAAAATATTTAGATAAATATTCGTAATATTCTTAAATGTTTAAACAAAATAATAACAAATGTGAATAAAAATATGAATAAATAAATCGTACCTTACGAAAAATAAAGTATCAAATGCTAAAGTGCCCGTTGTTAACACGTGATACTTTCCCTTGAATCCGTTTGTATCATTATAGTTTTCTGCAACACATATTCCAAATAAAATTTTAAAAATCCTAATTTAGCAGACTAGAGACTTTAAAGACTAGATTTATTTAATATACGTGTCAGGGCCACGCTGCATCTACATTGTTTGTGGCACGAATGGGTCAGCTCCACCGGGGTGACCTCCCATGACCTATGAGGTATAATCTATGAGAGAGACCTACGTTGTACAGCAGTGGACTTGCTGTTTGCTGCTGTGTTCCCATCTTAGTTGATAGTCGGTAACATTACAACTTTAACATCATCATCATCCTCATAATTTCAGCCTATCACAAAGGAATAATATTACAAAGCAATATTCTACATTAGATTTAACTGTACTTGATATTTTATATTTTGGTGTACAATAAAGAGTAAATAAATAAATAAAAAGAAATTCTGCAGCTACATTAGCAGTATAGTTGTAGCACGAATGGGTTGCGTCAACCGGTGAAGAACCACGCTCTTACAGAATACCAGCAGAAAATAGCAACTTATAGCTGGTGTGTTTCGTATGGTGAATGTAGAGAAACGAAGATATTTTTCTGGAAACGCATCTGATCTTATTACTATTGGGGTGACATCGCATCTGCATTTTGACTCTTAATTGGGGATAAATGTAGACATTTGTCTACATGTTACAGCGTCCAGTTACTATCAGGTGGACTGTGTGCTCGTGTGGCAACCTTATTCTACAAAAAAAAGACGCAGATTATTATACACAAACATAACAATTTACCTGAAAGATAATCTACAGCCGTAGTCACATGAATAAATATTACCCAAAACGTTGAAACGATTCGCAACAAATGAACTAGTGCTAAATCTTTATTAGCCATTTCAGTATTAAAAATTTTCTTCCAACTATGTTTCAGTGAGAAACTCAAAAGCAAATTCAGAAAGATATTATCTATTTTTCTGTATTCTGTATTTGTTAAGCTTGCGTAATTGTCATATTCGGTTCGGGAACACGCGGATATGTTGCCGAACTGTTTCGGAATTCCGCATTGCTTTTTATACTTCCCGCATCTTTTGCAGCTCGCAATTTGTCTATCCTGTGTCACGACGTCTAGCGTTATTGCTGAAGGAATCTTGGTTACTTTTGCTAACTTATTCACTGTTTCTGAATTCATATTTTTTGATAAAGTTTTATTTATTTTTAATGTTTCTTTGTCAACTATTTTTTCTCTCTTCAAATCAACAAACACTTTAACGACTTCACAATTGTACTTTCGACTTTGGTCATACCGAGTGCTGTTTGCATTGTATTTTTGCAGATCCAGTGAAATTGATCTACTATGAGATTTTAAACATTTAATTAGACCAACATCGACTATTGTGGCTATTACAGACAATGTAATTAGTAATAACGTAATAAATATTAGAATGACAGCTCCTGCGTCATATCTTAAGTCGTAATATTCTTCGATTTGTCTCAACGAAATTATTTTTACTGCTCTGGGCGTGGTTCCGTTTGTCTTTGAATTGTCGTTAAGCATCATAGAGAAGTTTAGCAGAGACGCAACATCATCAGGCGAACACGACCGAGGCAAACACAATCCGAGAGTGATTTCATATGACTGTAAAGGAAAAGTAAATGTTTACTTACTAATCTTGTAATTATATTAAGAAAGATGTAAAAGATATCTATTGCTTATATTCTATTGTTATTCTATTCTATTGTAAGGTGGCTGCGGGTAACAAGACCTGTCGTCTAATAAGACCTAATTTACAAAAACCGTATATATAATAACCGCACTCACTTAAGGAGATATTAACAGACTGCTATTGCACAATAATTTTTCTAAAAGCTTGCAGAGAAGCGCTATTCTGTGTCCTGCCACCAGAGTTGCACTACTATCTATCATTAGATACGACCGTAATGCACCAATAATGAAAATCTGTACAAATAAATCGTAGGTATGTTTTGTTACATACACATAGCTATCTAAAATCGTAATTTTTATCTTTATGAATAAATTCCTTGTTGATCTTGAAAATTTGAATAACGTTTCGAGTTCAAGTTTTTTATTATTTGGTTTTACTCAAATACTTGGTCGCCGATTATTAAGGTCACCATAGGCCTTATTATACTCCTTTTTCTTGTGTATTTTTTTTTTGTTTATAATGTGTTTTATATTACTTTTAAATGTTTAAATGCAAATAAATCGTAAGCTTTTATTTTTAAACTAATGTTGCCGTCAGAAAACGATCTGGTTTCAGCTGTCCAAACAGTGCAAAAACAAAGTGTGTCGAAGAATTAAAGGCATTAGAAGCTATTAAATTATGTGTAAATAATTGATCCTGCGCCTGAGCTGTCGGACCGTGTCAGATTCTGATTTAGTGATTATGAGGGGATAGAGAAAGCACCTACATTGCTCCAGTGCTTGCATATGTATACATTCGGACACGATAATTCTGTACTGTGCAGATAAGCTAGTCTCCGTTGAGAATGGCCGCTGTGACAGAAATTCGGTTGGGAGAACACTCAATCCAACAATCAACCCAACTCGAGACACAACTGATGCACTGATGATAATCACGGGGAGTGTGATGATGATTTCACGTTCGTTTGTCAGTTTGTTCATCATTGTACTAATGGCTGGCATTGTGCAATAATTTTAAGCATTAATTATTGCACTCATGTGATTATTTATCACAAATATTTAATATATTATACATATATGTATATTGATTATTTGAGTTCGTTAAGGCTTTATTATCCTACAGTAATGATTTCTTAAATTTACGCGAACACTAGACATTGAATAAAACTATTATTTACGGATTTTATCGCGTTTAATTCAACTTTAATTTATTTTTATTTTTATTATCCCGATGTTTCGGGTGCTTTACAGCACACGTTGTGTAACGTAAACGTAACGTTGTGTAACGCTGTAAAGCACTCGAAACGTCGGGATAATAAAAAAATAAATAAAAATAAATTAAAGTTGAATTAAACGCGATAAAATCCGTAAATAATAGTTTTATTCAATTATCCTACAGTAGTTAAGTAAGACCTACTGGCAAGGTTTTTAGAAATGTTTAATTTTGTTTATCTTTATTGCAAATATAAAAAAAAAATTCGTTCATACTCTATAGAAACCGTACTAAACCAATCATTTTTATAAAAATTGGCAGACCAAATGGGATATTTTTCCTTTAATTTGAATTTCCTTAGCTAGACCCTATTACCCGCAGGTATACCATACATATTGCAATGTAGTGGCGGGTACGAATATCCACTACCCCATATCTTCCCTTGGGTGTCGTAAAAGGCGACAGAGGGAGACAGGCAGGAGATGGGCAGCAGCATCTTCCTGATAACAGCAATTGTACAATAAAAACTGCGGTTGCCAACCCACCCGCAAAGCGTGGCAACTATGGCAATATGGGGCATATTGATAAGCAACGACACAAATAAACGGCGCCAGTCCAAGGCGGCCGCGCTATTACTGGCTACGGTGGCGACCATGGTATCGGCGGGGCAGGGGGTGCTAAGAATCTCCAGTGAAGGTTTGGTTACCACCTAAGACAACTCGACCTGGCAACATACAATGCACGCACCCTGAGGACTGACGAGAAGATCCTGGAGCTGGAAGAAGAGATAAACAAGTTGCGCTGGAATATTATTGGATTATCCGAGGTCCGAAGAGAGGAGGCGGACACGATGATTCTCGAATCCAGCAACTTATTCTATCACCGGGAAGTCGACCATCTGTCCCAAGGAGGTGTTGGATTTGTCGTCCACAAATCTCTCGTCAACAAAAAATCAAAAGAGAGAATCCCATCCATATTTTTCCCCACCCGATTTTACAAATTAAAAATGTGACTACTACTAGCGAACTATAAAATTGTAGAAATTGTAGTTAGTAGCCCATGGTCAACTGCAACCATAGTTAAACAAAGAAATATATTATACGGGGTTAATTTTTAAAGAGTAGCCAAATTTTAAACTTAAGCCCAAATCTATAAATAATGATATACCGTTACTTGATGGTAGGTGGATGCTGTGGCCCATAAAAATCTGCATTTAAGTCGCCAACAACATTATAAAGATTGGGAGTGTGTCGACGAGGGTCGCGTACCTGATACTCAGAATTACCAAACGGTATTCGCTGAAGGTCATATAGATTTACTCGCCAACCTCGGCACATCCTGGTAAAGAGATGTAGGAAGTGTACGAGAATATCTCCAAAGAAATGCATTCCTTAACAACCCCCTACGCGGTGTTAATGGGAGACTTCAACGCAAAACTGGGCACAAGAGAGAACGGCGAGCTGATAATAGGGAAATTCAAAATAGGGCAACGGAATCGAAGAGGCCTGCAACTGGCCTACTTTATGGAGAAGGAGGGACTCTTTACGATAAACTCTTTCTTCCAGAAGCGACTTCACAGGAATTGGACCTGGTCAAGCCACAAAGGTTCGACAAAAAATGAGATTGACTTCATTATGACGACAAGATGGCAACTATTCAGTGATGTCTCAATGATCTCATGGGTAAAAACTGGCAGCGATCACCGAATGTTTAGGGGCACACTGAACTTAAACGTTAAGTTGGAGAGGTGGTCTAATGAATTCAACGCTCGTGCTCTAATCCAAAGTCCCGAAACCTTTCAGCTCAAGTTACAAAACCGTTCTCAGTGCCTAGAATTCTGCAATGCAGTGGATGATATAAATGACAAGCTCGTGGAAAGTAAGTTCTGCAAGACCCGCCGCAGAAAAACAAAAAACTCTCCGATCACACTCTTAATATCATGGCTGTTAGACGGGAGATGAAGCTGCAGTCTTCAACAGATTTGACAGCGTACAGGTAACTGAGCAGACAGATCTCCAAATGCATGCGGTAGGACTTACGCAATTTTAATACCGCTCGTATTGAAGAAGCGATCAAGCGGATTCAGGGCTCCAAAGTCTTTGCCAGAGATCTGTCTGCCGGAAAGAGTCAAAGCTGAAGACCGAGTATGGCAGCATCGTTTCCGGGACACCTTAGATTTTGAGTGAGATTGAGAGGATCTATGGGCAGCTGTACACATCACCGTTGGAGCCACACGCAAGTGTGAGTAACGATCCAGGAGCAAGTCTTATCCAACACTATTCCGATGATATCCCGGACGTCAGTCTGAGCGAAATTAGAATGGCTCTCCAGCACTGGAGCTTCTGAAAGCGGGTGAAAAACCGGTCCTTAAAGACCTTCTTCTGAAGCTCATCAATTCCGTCCTCCATGGTGGCACTACTCCGGAGGCGTGGAGCAGAAGTGCGACGGTCTTGTTCTTCAACAAAGGCGACAACGCTCTCTTGAAGAATTACAGACCGATTTCCCTTTTGGATCGTGTCTACGTGCTGTTTTCGACCGTGTACTTCGACGTGGTACGATCGTCTCGCACGCAGACTCGATAACTTCCAGCCTCCCGAACAAGCCGATTTCCGAAAAGGCTTCAATACCATAGACCGCATGCATACCCTACGGCAGATTGTACAGACGACCAAAGAGTACAATCTGCCACTTTGCCTTGCGTATGTGGACTATGAAAAAGCCTTTGATTCCGTCGAAATTTAGGCGGTACTACAGTCCCTTCAGCGGTGTCAAGTTGACTGTTGGTATATCGAAGTACTGAAGGGTTACGATAGCTATCCGCGTACTTCTCGACACGCCACTCCGTCGACAATTGCTAAGTTCATTTCATACACTCTAGCTACTCTAGCGCTGTTATAGAGAGTTTTTAAACTGTTATTTACTGCTTACAGATGGACACTTTTTCAACTATTCCCCATGTGAGACGGTTCTCCTCACCTCTTCACTCCATGTACGCGTAAGAATGCGTTGACATTTTTTTTATAGGATAGGGTGACAAACGAGCACACAGTCCACCTGATGGTAAGTGGTTGCTGTGACCCATAGACATCAACATCTATCCTCCATTACGAATCAAAATGCAGATACGTTGTCACCCGTGAGGACTAAAGTGGAATGCCTTGTTTCTAGTAAAAAGGGTGTCCAGTTCTCTACACTCACTATACGAAACACGGCAATGGCGAAGTCGGCCTTGCTCTTTCTAACCGAGACACAGGTGTCCTCTCCGGCTGACACTTCATATCTCTCCTACCCGGGGTACAGATTAGAACACTCTTTTGTGCCCTGGGCTGGAGTTTGCGTGTACGTCAGAGAGGACATCTGTTTTCGACGCCTCGGCAGCCTTGAAGGTACGGACCTGTGCATCTTATGGTTACGCGTAGACAGCGACGACCATCCCCGTGTCTACGGGTGTCTATATAGGTCCCATAGCGGTAATGCCGACACTGACCGACTGATCGACCACGTCCAGATAGCTGCAGACTCCGTGCTACAACAGGTCCCAACCGCAGAAATCGTGATACTTGGTGATTTTAACGCCCACCACGCCGTTTAACCGATCGTGCGGGTAGATCTGATTATGACTTTGCTTTGGCATATGATCTGACACAACTGGTTACCTCGCCTACGTGAATCCCAGATGTGGAAGATCATGTACCTTCCCTGTTGGACCTTCTGCTGACCTCTCATCCGGACGGATATCTGGTCTCCGTTGATGCCCTTCTTGACTCCTCGAACCACTGTCTGATCCGGAGTACAGTGCCACTCATGCTCCCATCCAATTGCGTACTGCAGGTTGCCACCCTGTTTGGCATTATAGGTCAGCAGATTGCGACGGGATACGATCTTTTTTTGCGTCCTACCCTTAGAGGTGGGTTTGTTTCTCGCCGGATGACCCCAGCGTTTTTGCTGATTCTGTTGCAGATGTGGTGCTACAGGCAATGGAACTATTTATTCCATCATCTGTGGTACCTATCGGAGGCAGAACCCTGCCTTGGTTTGGTCGCCTCTGCAAAATTACATGGCCGGGGCTCGCGCATCGACGTTTTGGTATGTAAATACCAGCGTTCTTAAAAAGAAGTATAATTCTGCTTCCAGGTCCTTCAAAAATGTCATTGTCAAGGCAAAGTCAGAGCACATCGGCAGAATTGGCGAGAAACTTGTTCGTCTTCCTTCGAGAACACGTGCATTCTGGTCTTTCGCCAAGGCTGTCTAAGGGAACTTCTGCCAACCATCTCTTCCATCTCTGCACAGGGAGGATGACTCACTGGCCTATGCCGCAAAGGGCAAAGCCGATCTGCTAGCCTCTTTCTTTGCGTCCAACTCGACCCTTGATGACACAGGGAACACACCGCCGACCATCCCGCAGTGTGAGTGCTCCATGCAGGATATGCTGTTTACCCAACGCTCGGTGCGCAGAGCACTCCTCTCCCTGGACATCAACAAGTTGAGTGGGCCTGATGGCGTCACTCCTATTGTGCTGAAGACGTGTGCTCTGGAGTTGGCACCGGTCTTAACGCGTACGGTACTCCTACTCCCTAGGCGTAGTCCCGAAATCGTAGAAGACTGCCTTTGTGCACCCGATCCCTAGAAAAGGCAACCGCTCTGGTCCGCCCAAGTATAGGCCTACCGCCATCACCTCCTTGTTCTCTAAAATAATGTAATCATGCGGTACCTTGAGGATCTCCAGGTGATTAGTGACCGCCAGTGCGGTTACTGTCGCGGTCGCCTAGCTGGTGATATTCTAGGTTACCTAACTCGTAAATGGGCGAAGGCAGTAGAGTCCAAGGGCGAGGCGTTGGCCGTTAGTTTGGACATAACGAAGGCCTTCGGTCGGGTTTGGCACAAAGCGCTTCTTACAAAGCTTTCTTCCTATAGGGTTCGCGAGAAATTGTGCAATTGGATCACCATTTATCTTGCTGATCGGAGCATCAAGGTCGTAGTAGACGGTGCATGCTCCAATTACAAGCCCATTAACGCTGGTGTTCCACAAGGCTGCGTGCTATCACCAACGTTGTTTCTTCTGCGTATTAATGACATGTTGCAAATCGCATTGCATGCATTCATTGCTATGCAAATGACAGCACTGGTGATGCTTTAAACACCGGCCGTGCCAATATTTCTCGGGAAAATTTCACCGAGTACCGGGACAAACTTGTGTCTGAAGTCGAGACTTTGTTAAACAAAATCTCGGACTGGGGGCGACTAAATCTAGTCCAGTTTAATCCCCAGAAGACACAAGTTTGCGCGTTTACCGCTAAAAAGGACCCCTTCGTCGTATCTACTCAGTTTCAAGGCACTCCCCTTGTTGCCTCAGCCAGTATCGGAATCCTCGGCGTCGACATATCGAGTGACGCGCAGTTTCGTGGTCACTTAAAAGAGAAGGCTAAATTGGCCTCTAAAAAGCTTGGCATGCTCAGCAGAGCGGTACAGTATTTCATGCGGGCACGCCGCCTGCAACTTTACAAGGCGCAAGTTCGGCCACACATGGAATACTGTTCCCATCTCTGGGCCGGAACTCCCCAGTGCCAGCTCCTTCCATTTGATCGCATCCAGCGCAGAGCATTTGAATCGTCAGCGACCGAGCTCTTTTCGATAGGCTTGACTCACTGGTACTGCGAAGAGATACTAGACAGACAGACACAAGCTAGTATTACCAGTTACTAGACTCTACCGAGTCAGTAATTTATTCTTGGGACGATGTATACGCTTTTACAACAAAATCCCAGAAAATATACAAAATTTCACCTCCACAAAGTTTAAAAACTTTATTAAACGAAGTTTGTATAAAAATGGTATAATAGATATAATATCTAATATTAAGGAATTTATGTTTGATAATAACCCCTGGTAAGGGTGATTGCTACCAAACTATTTCTAATTCGTTTTGTTTTAACATACATGATTGTAAGTTGTCATTTTAATAAAAATAGTCCCGCTGTGTTTCTTGCTGGTTCTTCCCGGGACAAAAGTTTTTTTCGAACCAATGGTGAATTAAAAAAATGACCTTCAATAAGTATTATTTATAATCGATATTGAATTATCGTTATGAAATCAGTCAAATAATTCACCTCCTTCCTGAGTGAAGCCGCCCTGGTGGCAAAAACAGGTTCCCTAGATTTTTTACGTATTTATTTAATAACCTTAAAGTGAGACTGTTGGAAGAAAAATAGTCTGCTCGTGAGCTAATTGCCGCTTCTTCACCTCACAAGGTCTCCCGCTGTGAGGACTTGTTAAAGTGATAGCATAGCTTTCTTTAACTTTCAAAAAGGGCTTTGTAAAGACTAATTCAGAATAAAAATATTTTGAATTTACTTGACTTGATCATAGGTCATGATCACAGGTCGTGATTGTCATTTTGAATTCGAGGGATGTACTTAAATTATGCATTCAGCATTAGTGTTAAAGTCAATAATTACTATATTTCGCATTAAAGTAATATATATTACGTACTAAAGAAGACACCCATACTTGGTCGTTTGCAGCACGCATTAGAGTACATGGGCTCAAACTTTGGCCCGGTTTACATTTTGAGAAGTGACAAGTGCGAGTGGCAAGTACTAATAGCAAGTGCAACTGAAAATTCGCTTTATATTTACACTTATCACTTGTTACTGCCTATACACACGCACTAATCACTTGTCATTTGTCAGTTGCACTTATCACTCGCACTTCACTTCTCAAGGGCATAAACCGGGCCTTACTTTGTGCCATAAAATGGTACTTTGTACCACCGATCATGAGCACCGCACTGTCGTACAGGAGTGCGTAGTACATTACTTCAATGACATTTTGAAAATACTCTGCTATGGATGACTGTTAAAGGCCTATTAGATAAAAATGTTATGATAAATTAAATTGCAACTTCCATAAGTTTTGTTGTAAATTACAATACCTTCGACATTTTGAATTTCGTGATATTTAACGAGATTTGTGCAGAAATGTATGCGAGGCGATGTAACGGAGTCTCGTCAGGAACAGCAGTGCTCTGTGTCAATGCCTCCTTTACAGGAAAAGTCGACCAGTCTTCTGCATCTGTTTAGGAATACACTTATGTATATACTTTTCAAAATACATTTGTTGATTCCACTCCTATAGATATTTTTTCATCAACATTGTAATGTCAAAGAAATTGCGGAACTAAAATAAAAAGTTTACACGAAACGGAAAAAAAACGTTTTTTATAATCTTAAGCTCACCAGAGGTCGCTTGTTGGGACTGAGGTGATATTATTTATCACGGTAATGGTCAATGTGGTCACACAGTGTCAACATCATTGTAAAGTTGCATTTTCTGTTTCTAGTGTATGTATTATTGTAGACAAAACAATGTGTCAGTGCTGTGTACATATAAACTATTTTACTTACTTTAACTAATCTTTCTACTTTTCGGAATGTCTGTAGTTTAGTTTATCCATTTTTAATCTAATTAACATACAATATAACTAATATATCAGAAATAAATATTATTATCTTCACTATTCTAATAAAATTACTGCCTTCGACATGAAATCTACGTCCAAAAGTGGCGCCGCCCTGGTGGCAGAAAAAGTCGTGAATGTCGATTTTAGACGTCAACGACTACACAGCCCGAATAGACGCCTCATGCAAGGCGTACACTTTCTGTCAACACGTTAGACAAATACGTCTTACTTAAGAAAACGATCGCACAATCTACTTAGTAGCGACCACATCTCTGACCCGTGAACGTCTTGCATGTGACTCATAAATTTTCGACAAAATAAAATACAACAGGTGCGCAACACGGCTCCCTGTACAATAAAATGGTGCCGAAATAGTAGCCAAATGTGTAATTTCAAAAAAATGTCACCACTTTTCATAGATAAGTAAATTTTAATTTCCAAATTCATTAATTAAAAAGAAATTAGAGCTCAACCTATATTTGTCACAAAGCAACTCGCGTACTTATTCGGACATCTTCGGATATTTTCGGACTATGCATCCCTTTCTTTTCAATGCAGTTCATTTTTGTTATACTATTCTTTAATTACCGACATGTGTAACTAGTGATGTACCAGTTGAACTATAATATTGGTGCAAGTAAATATTATGCATGTTATCGTTAATGTTTTACAGACTTATATAAATGACATAGGTGTAAGCTGATTTTTTTTTAGTTAATGGACGTTAATCAATATTTGAATTAATGATTGATTTTATTTCATTTATTATTTATCAAAAGTATTCTTACATATTTGCTTGATTTGTACCATTAAACCAATAGTGGTTTGTATTGGTACTCACATTCGTAACTAACGCACTGCTTTACATATAAATAAATACGCCTTCTTTATTTTGTAAGTGGTAAGCACCCATTTGCAATTCTCACCTGGGACTATTCGACGAACCGGTTCTATTAGGCAGCGCAGTCTTCTTAACTTTATACAGGCTGTTTCACTATTATACAAACTAAATTATAACTATGATTCTAAATGATGTTATAAGACGATGTTCTTTATATTATTGTAATAATATTTTTTGAGTTTATGTTTATAGTTTTTTGTGTTTAAATCTTTTTGAATGTTTTGCGGGATGTTGTTTATAAAAGTTGGGATTAAAAATTCAATAGTTCGCCTACCATAGTAATTTGAGATCCTAGGCACAATTAATTTTTGTTTAGTAATATTTCCTTGTAATTACTGTATGAGATACTGGTATTTGGATGCTTTTATTGTTGAATTGTTCAATAATAGGGTCATGTGAAGTTTCATATGCATTGGTAAAATATTACAGTAATTAAAAATGTCTAATACGTTTTCTTTATATTGTTGTATTATTTTTTGGGGTACAATAAGTTTAAGTAATCTTAGCTGTAGTTTATATATTTTTTCAGTATATGACTTAAAGGTTCGTCCATAACATGAGATTCCGTATGATATAATTGACTCAGCTAAGGCTTTATATATATTCAGCAGGATTTTATACGGTACTTTAGGCTTTAAGATATAGAATTTAGCCAGTATAGCTCGTAACTTCTCACAGAGAGAATCTATGTGAAATCTCCAGCTAAATCTATTGTCTATAATTAGTCTTAAGTAACTGTGATGCGTTACTTGTTCTATTGCCTCACATTTACAAGCGTTAGTTGAAGCGCAAGATGAAGTTGATTTGTGCAGACATCTGTGACTGTGAGCAATGATCTTAAAATACGTGTTGTGTTTTAGATAGCTTGAGTGAACGTGAATCACTTTGGTTTTATTTGCATTCAAGACAAGTCCCGCATCATGTGACCATTTAGATACCTGTGTAAAATCCTGCTGCAGCCATTTAGCAGCTTCTTTTGGATCTATGCTGGCCGCCAAAAGGCACGTGTCATCTGCGTATTGATAAACGGAACAATGGTTGACAATATGCTCCATATCGTTGAGGTATGCTAAATAGTGCAAGGGTCCAAGCACCGACCCTTGAGCTGTTCCTTCAGTAACATCTATAGCGTCGCTGACGTCATCACAAATTTTAACTTTATATTTGCGATTATTGAGGTAATCTTTGAACCAATCTAAAATTGGACCGCGTACACCGGTATTCTCTAGTTTATTTAAGAGAATATCGTGTCGAAGCGTATCAAATGCTTTGCTGAAGTCTATGAATAACATAATTACGTGGTTTCTGTCATCTAAATATTTGTTTACATCATTTGTAAATTTTGACAGCAGTTTAGAGGTAGATTTGTTAGGTTGAAAGCCGTATTGTGAATTTGATAGGATGTCATTTTTATTGTAAAAGTCTTGTATCTGATTACAAACATATTTTTCTACTATCTTGTCAATGACTGGTAGGATAGTAATTGGTCTATAGTTGGCATAATTACTGTGACTACCTTTTTTATATATCGGTCTCACTATACCTATTTTTAATTCATCTGGATACTTTGCTTGGCGCATGCTATTATTTATTAATTTAACAATAATTCCTACCATCTTATCACAGACAGATTGTATGTGAATACATCGGATATTATCCACACCAGGAGCTTTATTGGTTTTAAGGTTTCTTACAATCTTCGTCACACTTTCATTTGAGGCTCTTTTAAAATACATAGATTTATTTTCGGGGAACATATATTCTTATTCATTTAGAAGCCGTTGGTTACTTTTTGGCAGGATTTTTTAACACAATTTCTAAATTCTTTTGCAAAGTTATTAGCTTTTAAAGTTTAAAGTTTTATTAGCTTTAAAAGTTATTAGAAGATTTTGCGTCAATATTATTTTTATTAAATGTTTTTAATATTGCCTCATCCATTGAATTTTTGTTTCGACCAGATAGTGTATTCAAAATTTGCCATAGATTTCTAAGATTCATTTTATTACTATTTATTTGTTCCATATAATATTTATTTTTACACTTTTCTATTATTTTACGTGTCTTATTCCTTAATTTATTATACTCTAATCTTAGTAATTTGTCCGTGGGATCATTTTTCCATTTAATGTATAATTCGTCCTTCTTTTTACACATGCTATTAATTTTACTATTTATCCAGGGGTCTTTATTTCTATCACTTATTTTATTACTTTTTTTGATATATTTTGAATTATTGTAACAATCATTGAATTTATTTTTGATGCAATTGTAAATTTTATTTGGACACTCCGTATCTCTGACTTCGCTCCAATCTAGATTATTAAGTAAACTTTTAACTTTATGATTATCAATCTGTTGGATTATTTTTGTATCACTCTGTATTTGTGTTTGGTCGAATCCTACGCACGAAAGTATAATCATGCGATGGTCAGCCAATACAGTTCCGAGCGCGGCCGAGTACAGATCTAACGAGCGCGTACGAGTAAAAATGTGATCTATGCAACTGCGAGTTGTTTCCTTACCGCATATTTCAATTCTTGTGTAATCGGATATCGCGCTTGTTAGACCGCTCTCGGACATACTACTAATGTAGTAGTCTCGGATGTTGTCGCATGTTTTTAAGTCTATATTAACGTCGCCTAAGAGATAAGTGTCACATAGTTGAAACATAGATTTTGATAATAGGCTACTTATTTCCTTTACAAATAGGTGCTTACTCTCACTTGGTGGTCTATAAACAGCACAGATGTAAGCGGAGTATTTGTAAGGCGTAGTGATCTTACCGATAATAATCTCACAGTGTATTAACGAGTGACTTACTGGCGCGAATGAGTGAACATCTCTAACATATAGAATTATACCACCGCCTTTTCTATTTTTGCGCAACATACTGTGCATTCTATAGCCATAAATATTAAACATAGAAACTATATTGTTATTTATGTTTACTTCGCTTAAGATTAAAATATCAATAATCATTTTAGAAGAGTTAATTAATTGTGTTACATAGCAAAAATTTTTTATCAAAGATCTTATGTTAATGTGGACAATATTAAGATAGATTTTATAAATAGGGGGTATATGCAAGCGAAAGTTGTTAATATCTGCACAATTTAATATTTCTTCATGATCAGAAAAGAGGACTTGGGTTACTAATTTTGAAATCTATTACCGCTTGGAACTTTGGCCGATTATTTCCGTTAGTGCTGAGAGCTTCTCAATGTCAGCTTCGCTTCGCGCGACCTTAGGCTTAGATTTGTCGTCTTTACGTAATAGCACCTTTCCATCTTGGAACCAGACGTATTTGTAGGCCGGTCTTAGTTTTTGTTGTGCTAGCCATAATAACGACTTATTGGCTTTGGTCAGGGCGCGTCGTATGATCACTTTCGTCTTAGCAACTTCCACAGGGGCCTCGGAGATGATTTGTTCTACCACTACTGCTTCCTTTTTCGAGGCTCGCACCCATAAGCTTACATTTTCTGCATGTTTGAACTGCACTTGGATGTTTCCATCTTGGTTATTTCGACCTTCTACACGAGTAATATTCACTACTTGCGTCCTGTCCATGTTGAGTGTCTCA